CCCACGAGGGGGGGGGGGGGGGGGGGGGGGGGAGAATTCATTAGGGTAGAATCACCTTACATACCATATAATGTAAAACGGAAAATGGACAAGAGGATAATAGAGTGACATAAGATTTACCTTAAACCACTTCTATTTTGGGTCAATACTACTCCCAAGTACTGGTTTATGTGCACAACACTCGTCACAACCTTAACACCGCAGTCAAAACATTGTGAAAATGTCGACCAACAATTTCACCCGATCGAAGAAATTTGAACTTAATACTTAAGAACATTGTTATCATCTCCTCAATACTAACACTCCTACTTTGAGAGTAGTTTATCCTTCTTCGTCACGAACCAAATTACATAGTACATCAAATGTGTGTCTGTCTATCCTCAGTTGGCTTATACAAGTTATATCACTCTCACCAATGAGACGATGTAAGTGTTCCAGTTGTAGTCGATTCCTATGCAAGGGTCGTGGTACAATAGATGTTGTCAAATTGGTTTCAATGCCCCGACCATTATAGATAACAGTAGGTGAAACACAATTACCATCTCCCTAATGGTCTTATTCATAACGGTAAGCAACATACAAACTTCTTCGCTACGGAAATCCATGTTAATTGCAAAGGTAATACAATTGACACATTTAAATTACCTAAAAAATGTCAACTAAGGGTTAAATAAGAAACAACTCATATGGTACTGTGTTAACTAAAAACAATTATAGTATTTTTTTTAAGTCAAAAGTTTAAAAAAAATATATGTTTAGTTTTGTAAAGTTGTTTCTTCCCGGTATAATTAACATTCTCATATAAATGGTGAATGTCTAGTAAGATATTCCCATACATCCAGAGAAGCAAAATAGAAAGAGCATCAACACATCAAATAAAAGAATAGCAGTTGTACATAACATCAGATAAATATTTGCACGCTATTGAATGGCATAAAACAATGGTTGGTGTTGACAAAATGTATTACAAACATAAAATATAGTACGATACATGCAATACCTAATTTTTGGAAAGGCCTACGAAAGCAAATCCACAGCGAGATACAGCACGTGCACAATGATGGACACCGGATCCACAGCGACATAAACAACAGATTTCATTTGATGGATAATGACTTCCACATTACACAAACAACAAAATCCGAAGAAAAAGAAAAGGATAGATAGATAGATAGATAGATAGATAGATAGATAGAGACAAATAGAGATCTGACTTGTGTGAGAAAGTACCAGTGGTCCACAAGTGGTACTACCCAAACCAAGGTTCTTCTAAATTTCTATACAGGCCAAACACCTACATATGCCAAGAAATAGAGAAAGAGAGAGAGAGGGAGAAACCTGGAGAGGGGCATTGGACTTCGGCGTCGATTAGTGGGGGACCAGTGGGGGTGCAGTGTTGGAAAGTGATTGTGGTGGATAAAAAAACCCTACAAAAAATACTGTTCCAGGGTGTTTTATGTAATTTTGGAACTTATCTCCTTCACTACATTCTGAATCCCACCGTTCACATTGGTTAAAGGAGTCCGACCAAGTTTTTGAATACCAACGGATATCCCATCCCGAGTTTTTCACCTAAACTAAGAATATGTGGGCTCATTTCACTATTTTAATCCTATTCCACCTTTAATCCCCCTTAATCCCGCCAAATAAACACCCCCTAAGAGCCTAGAGTAAATTAACTGCATCACATATTATATAAAAAAGGTTCGATGGTTATATAATTTCAAACGTCCTAAAGTAAATTGAGGTGATCAAGTGGACCATATGATATCAAGAGCATATGGACACATTATGGATTTACAGTATATCATTGTATGCATTTTGGAGCATATGGACACATTATGGATTTACGATATGTCATTGTGCATGTTGACGTAGGATGGTGCGATTGATCACCCCAATTTACTTTGCGGCGTTTGAAATTATATAACCATCGAACCTTTTTTATATACAAGTTAACATGCTTACAATGACATACCGTAAATCCATAAATTAAAATTGAATTTTTTGAAGTTCAGATGCTTAAAAGTTTTTTTGATTTTTTTATCCTCAAAAATTAAAATTTTTATATTATATTCTAAATATATTAAAAGTATTGCAATGCTTGTTATTTATTTTGTCAACATCAATAGGGTGAAATTTAACGAAATGAGTAGTTGAAGCTAATGACAGGTTATATTGTAATATCTATATAATAAAGTACAATACAATTTAAATATCAAAAGATAAACAAAATGATTTTTATTTTTCGCGGTTGAAATATCTTTAAATTTTATTTTAAAATTAATCCAACGACTAATATTAACACCTCAAATTTAATAGGAAAAATATGTCTCTAAAAATGTGTTTGTGGTGATTTTTTAAAAGTGTTTTTACGATTTATAATTATTTATAAACTACTTTAAAAAAAAAGTGTTTGAAACCACCACCACTACCGTCGTCGTCCCACCACCACAACTACCCCCCCACCACCACCACCGCCACCACCCCATCACCACCTCTGCCACAATAACCACCACCGTCATTGTCACCACTACTATCGTCATTCCACCCCCACCACTGTCGTTGTTACAATTATTATCACCACCTCATCACCACCACCATCCCTACTATTGCCACCCCACTCCCACCCCCACCGTCCCACCACCATCGTCCCTACTATTGCACCCCTACCACCATCACCACAATTGTTACCATCGTTGTCGTTCCATCAACACTATTATCACCACCACCGTCACCACGGCACCCGCCCCACGACCATCACCACAACCACCACCATCGTCGTTACCCCCACCACCACCCCGCTGTCCCACAACCATCACCACTATCACCATCATCTCACTATTATTATCGTCACCCACCAACACCATATTGTTGCCTACCATCACCCCGTTGTCGCTATCCATTATCACCCACCCCCCACTGCCACCCTTCATTGTCCACCACTATTGTCATCTAATATTACCCACACCTACCACCACTCATCACACTGTTACTGAGGAACATCTATCGTCGTCTACCACCACCATTATCACTACTCATCGCTGCCACCATCACTGTTTTCGCTTCATCACGACTACTGGCAATAACCATTACCGTTGCCCACCAACACCCCTGCCGTCATTCATGCCTATCACTATCACCAGTATCGTTGCCACTCATGACTGCCACCACCACCATAGCCATTGCCACTCACTACTGTCTTTTACCACTATCGCTACCATCCACCACATCTCAAATCCTATTACAACTAGTGTTTAAATTTTTTTCTCTTTCCTCTATGTTATAATTTGATTTTAAGTATAAATGCAAATATTTTTAGTATTAACCATTTTTTTTATTATTTTGTGCGTTTAGGCGGAGGCAATAAACTAGTTTTTGATATATTAAAAGCATAATGTGAAAAGTTTAAAATCTTTTGGGAATAAAGTGAAATTTCCCAAATAAATAAAGAGGTCTCAACTCAACTCCCAACGGAAAGTCAATCCACAAACAGAGTCAAAAACTCAGAAACATGTCTGTCCCTCTCTCCACAGTTCACGCACGAAGAATGGGAGGAGGAAATATCAAGGTCATAGTTTTGTTCATTCTCATCGGAGCTCTGCAGAGAACCTCCGTCAATGGCGCCGGATTCACCGGAGACTACTCGAAGCTCTCCGGCATCATAATACCTGGCTTGGCTTCCACTCAGCTCAGAGCGTGGTCCATCTTGGACTGCCCTTACTCTCCTCTCGATTTCAATCCTCTCGATTTGGTCTGGCTCGACTCCACCAAAGTAAATCATAAATCTTTCTCATCATTGTTCTTCTCTCTCGCTCTCTCAATGAATCTTTTTTACTCAATATGTCCATAATGTCCTAATTCTTGGTTTTTATGACTATGTACTGTTAGTTTTTGACTCAATTTCTTAAAGAGATTCATTCTTTCTCAGGTTATGGTTATTATGATTTGGTTGTTTTGTGCCAATTCTTTATAGTCCTCCTTTCTTTTTGATTCTTGCAATTGTTTCTTTAGTGGAAAATCTCTTTGTTCCTTTATGAATGAGTGAATACTTTTTGGCAGTTCACACTTGCTTTCTGGTTTCTTTAACTTTGTTTTGGCAGATGATTATTATGTATGCGTAAGAGCTAGGCCCTTTAGGAGTTCAATGTGGGTTTCGGATTGTGGTGGACAGTGTGAGTATGTGTTTATAACGTGTATGCTATGTTCCACAAAACAATGTGCATGTGTATGTTTTAAGTATTGAACAACTTTATATGATGACAAATTCTTTTTGTTGTTGATACAAACAAATGTCTCTGTGCTCCAGGTCCATTCCACACCAAAAGTATATGCCCCATGTGGGACACATCACACGCCCATGTGACATTATGGAGTTTCTAAAACCACTCTTATAATGAATATCTTAATTGTTATATTAGTAAACTTTAAGGTCCCACGCATGGCAGTCCTAATGAATATACTTTTACATGATTCCCAATTGATGAGCTTGGATCTTTCAGGTTAACACTAGAGTGGTCACTGCAGAACACTAGTGTCTTTCATGTTAACAAGACAATGAATATTCAGTGTCTGATTCCGCAAAAGAACAACACAGCTTTGCTACATAATATTTGTCTAATGTGACTGCTGTTTTTTAGCTTTTAAAGAATTTATGCTTTGGCTCCATTCAAGTCAAAAGAACCTCATGTTTTCCTTGCTTCAACAAGTTGAGTTCAGCAACAAAATCATTCTTTGGCCATTAGACCAATATAGGGCCCTATCATCTGTTGATCTTTTTCATAAAGCCTAATTACAAACTTAAATCGAATAATAATCAAGTAACTAATCTTTGATAAAACTTGCAAATGCTTACTCCATGTGGCTTTGTCTACCATATGATGTTTGCTTCCTCATTTCTTGAACAAGAGAATACTGTAAACATGCTTCATTTTCTCCACTGGTTTCTATTGTTTTCCATGGATACTCAAATAAGATCACCACCTGTTATGCAGCTTCTTTCTGCTGTAAATTGCTGGCTTAAGTGCATGTTGTTAGACCCATACAATCAAACAGATCATCCTGAATGCAAGTCTCGGCCCGATAGTGGTCTTTCTGCGATCACGGAGCTTGATCCAGGTTACATAACAGGTATTTCGTATTATGTTTTTTTATAGATTTATCATTTCATGTTTTGTCGTGGACTTTTCTATCCGCATAATGACACACTCGCAAAGATACTTATATACTATAGTCTGATTGAAGCCGTTTTTCAAAAAGGTTGTGCTTGGTATGGCTTATGCGCTACTTATGCTAAATAAGCTGTTACTTCTCTCTTGACTATATCAAACCAAGTTCCTTGAATCTTTAAGATATCTCTATTTTTTTTATACGAGGCCTTATTAACTTATTTGCTTGCTTCTTTTCATGATACCCCCTTAAGAATGATGTGTGGTGCTCAGGTCCTCTTTCATCGGTGTGGAAAGAATGGATTAAGTGGTGCATTGAGTTTGGTATTGAGGCTAATGCAATTCTTGCTGTTCCTTATGATTGGAGATTGTCACCAGCAAAGCTTGAGGAGCGGGACCTATACTTTCACAAGCTAAAGTGTGTATATAGCCCACATTGCATATCTATTATGCATCGTTCTTTAATTGCTACAATGCCAATTTCTTGATTGCCGGCTTTTTTAATATGTTGCCATGTTTCAGTGTAATACTATAATAAGTTTGACAAATGCTACAAAATTATACTGTCGCTATTAAAGCTTGAGGAGTAAACCTATTGCTTTATTTCTTTTATTTTTACTTTTTCCTTATTTTTAGGATGATAATTAAAAAGATAGGATTTTTGATTTCACAAGGGAAACTTTGCATTTATCTTGTGTATATCTTGTGCATCCTAATTTTATGTGATGAACACCTTTTTTTTTAAAGTTTTTAATTGCCTTTCATAACAGCTTCTAAACAATTCCAGTCATTTCCATTGCTGTTTGGTTCCAGAACCTGTCTTTTTTCAGTTATTGAAAGAATGTGTATCTGCTGGAGTTAGAGACTAATTGAACACTGTGCCTTTGTGTTGATCGAGCCTCTGGTATGCATTATTGATATGTTGAATTCAAATTAAGAACCTGTCTCTTTCAGATCTGGCATTGTGAGAATCTACAACAGCATAGAGAAAATGACTTGCAAATCTGTCTATGTTGTTCTCTCTCTCTTTTTTTTATTGTGTTTAGAACCTTTGTGTTTTCCTTCCTTGAGCTGTCTTTCTTGCTTTCAAGTAGAGCATTGATGATTGGTTTTTACTGCAGAAATTGCTTCTTTATTTAGGTTTTTTGCTCTTTTTTGGGGTGTTGCAGGCTGACTTTTGAAACTGCCCTTAAACTTCGTGGTGGCCCTTCATTGGTTTTTGCTCATTCGTTGGGGAACAATGTATTCCGATACTTTTTAGAATGGTTGAAGCTAGAAATTGCCCCCAAAAAATATATCCAATGGTTAGATGACCACATTCATGCCTATTTTGCTGTTGGTAAGCTTCTACTCTGCACTTTGTTCAACTCTTCATGTAGAATTGCCTTAANTGTTCTTTAATTGCTACAATGCCAATTTCTTGATTGCCGGCTTTTTTAATATGTTGCCATCTTTCAGTGTAATACTATAATAAGTTTGACAAATGCTACAAAATTATACTGTCGCTGTTAAAGCTTGAGGAGTAAACCTATTGCTTTATTTCTTTTATTTTTACTTTTTCCTTATTTTTAGGATGATAATTAAAAAGATAGGATTTTTGATTTCACAAGGGAAACTTTGCATTTATCTTGTGTATATCTTGTGCATCCTAATTTTATGTGATGAACACCTTTTTTTTTAAAGTTTTTAATTGCCTTTCATAACAGCTTCTAAACAATTCCAGTCATTTCCATTGCTGTTTGGTTCCAGAACCTGTCTTTTTTCAGTTATTGAAAGAATGTGTATCTGCTGGAGTTAGAGACTAATTGAACACTGTGCCTTTGTGTTGATCGAGCCTCTGGTATGCATTATTGATATGTTGAATTCAAATTAAGAACCTGTCTCTTTCAGATCTGGCATTGTGAGAATCTACAACAGCATAGAGAAAATGACTTGCAAATCTGTCTATGTTGTTCTCTCTCTCTTTTTTTTATTGTGTTTAGAACCTTTGTGTTTTCCTTCCTTGAGCTGTCTTTCTTGCTTTCAAGTAGAGCATTGATGATTGGTTTTTACTGCAGAAATTGCTTCTTTATTTAGGTTTTTTGCTCTTTTTTGGGGTGTTGCAGGCTGACTTTTGAAACTGCCCTTAAACTTCGTGGTGGCCCTTCATTGGTTTTTGCTCATTCGTTGGGGAACAATGTATTCCGATACTTTTTAGAATGGTTGAAGCTAGAAATTGCCCCCAAAAAATATATCCAATGGTTAGATGACCACATTCATGCCTATTTTGCTGTTGGTAAGCTTCTACTCTGCACTTTGTTCAACTCTTCATGTAGAATTGCCTTAAATTGTAGGACATGCACTTTATCTGAATTTTGTTATGCTTCTTTGATTTCAGGATCCCCTCTTCTAGGTGCAACTCAAACTGTCCAAGCAGTACTCTCTGGATTCACATTTGGTCTTCCTGTTTCTGAGGTTTCCGTTTAGTATTTTTGGGATTTTTTTTTTGTATATCTATGACTTCTTTTTACTTCTTCACGGTTTTCACCATCATATGAGTTCCCCTTTGTTTCCAGGAATATCTCTTTTTAGCCTAGTGGTCATATGAACTGAAAATTTCAGATTTAATCAATGAAAGCAATTTACATTAGCTGAAGTGCTTGGGGGATCCCTGATTGTGGTAGCTTATTTTTTTTGATCCTGTACTAATACATTTTATTGTCAAATCATATGATGGCAAGATGTCAGGGTACAGCTCGATTGATGTTCAATTCATTTGGCTCTTCATTATGGATGATGCCGGTTTCAAAGTATTGTAGGTCTGATAATGTATATTGGAAAAATTTCTATGATGGGAGCAGGAAGGGTCAACATGCTTACCTTTGTGATGAAAACGAATTCCGGTCAAACTACTCTGGATGGCCGACAAATATTATCAATATTGAAATTCCTTCTACTCGAGGCATGACTTAAAATTTGTGTGCTTATTTTGTAGCAATGACATTGTAATTATGCTCATAGGCTCTATTTCTGTCTTAGCAGGAGCTGATGCTTATCCATCATTTGTAGATGTGGCAGAAACCAACATGTCTAGCATGGAATGTGGATTCCCAACTCAGTTATCCTTTTCTGCTCGTGAAGTCTCAGATGGGACCTTTTTCAAGGCAATAGAAGACTATGATCCTGATAGCAAAAGGCTCTTGTACCAATTACACAAGTGAGTATATAACTGCTATTCTTCTCTGGAAATTTGCTTTGAAATGCAATCTTTCTGATGCAGAATACAATAACAAGACAACATCTCCCATTGTTGTAGATTGTTTGAAGTGGAACCCAATCATATTCCAATTAACTTCCCAAAAAAACTTTGTCCTTGTCTCCTTTGGGTCCACAACCTCCATGACGTAGTGAAACCCTTCATGTTTAACATTTGAGGGAACTGAGTCTAGCCTTTCTTATTTTGGTGGGTGGCATTGTGATTGTTACCATGTTTGTTGACATTCCAGTCATTTCGCTTTTCTGTTTATTTTTTTCCGTATAACCGCAGCAAAATCATGCATGATGTCAATCTGTGCAACACAAGTCTTTATCACTAGACGTAACTATGGTTTAGGTACTCTCGAGGCTGCGACGCAGGCGAATATAGAACAGTTACATGCATTGGTAGTCAGTCTTTCTCAACTATTTCTGCCAAGATCGATGGTACTTCTGTATCTGCTAGTTCAAAGATGGAAATATGTCTCTCCTACACAGATGTTTCGTTGATTCTTCTTTTATTGTTTATGAATACATATCTGAATTGAGNAATTTTTTTCCGTATAACCGCAGCAAAATCATGCATGATGTCAATCTGTGCAACACAAGTCTTTATCATTAGACGTAACTATGGTTTAGGTACTCTCGAGGCTGCGACGCAGGCGAATATAGAACAGTTACATGAATTGGTAGTCAGTCTTTCTCAACTATTTCTGCCAAGATCGATGGTACTTCTGTATCTGCTAGTTCAAAGATGGCAATATTTCTCTCCTACACACAGATGTTTCGTTGATTCTTCTTTTATTGTTTATGAATACATATCTGAATTGAGTGGTATTAAATGAAATTCATCTTTCCCACGTGTTTTCAATGCTTTTTATTTCAGGTTATATCATGGCGATCCAGTACTAAATCCACTGACACCTTGGGACAGGCCACCTCTAAAAAACATATTCTGTATATATGGAGTAGATATGAAAACTGAGGTATAGTCCTATGTGAATTGACCTTGCAAATTGTTGTGATTAAATTGTACTGAATGCATGCATATTTCTTTTTTGATTTCTTAACTGCACATTTGAACTAATATGACATTAGTCTGCAATTTATGCTGTTATCTATTTGATGTTTTTGAAATTTNAACTGCACATTTGACCTAATATGACATTAGTCTGCAATTTATGCTGTTATCTATTTGATGTTTTTGAAATTTTCGGAAGTCCTGGAATTTCAAAAGATTTTAGGATCAATTTTCAGCAGTTTCAAATCTTTNTTTTGATTTCTTAACTGCACATTTGAACTAATATGACATTAGTCTGCAATTTATGCTGTTATCTATTTGATGTTTTTGAAATTTTTGGAAGTCCTGGAATTTCAAAAGATTTTAGGATCAATTTTCAGCAGTTTCAAATCTTTCCAAAGACCACGGGATTTGCCAAGTCTCATGTTTGCCCCATTACATTGTTTTCGTTATATTTATGTAGCTGTGAACTATAACACGGTAAAGGGAAAATGAGTTTGATTTGTGTTTTGAAATCTAAAAGGTTACAGATTCCTAAATTGGCAGTCAATAGCATGTCTATTCTGGCTTGGGAACTATAGAATGATATAAATGAAAATTGTTCATTTCAAAAAAATTATAATTGAAAATTGTTGCTGGTATATTGGAACTGGTAATAATTATTGTATGGGTTATATGTCTTAGAAATATTCTTGCACATTTGTAAACCGATAACTATTGTGACAGAATTGGATTTGGGTCTACCCAATTCAATAGCAACATTTGTTATATTCAGTATGTCCGTAGGCTTGGTCCATTTACTTTTCATGGCTGTAAAAGTCTAGTTTGATCTGTCACTCAGGGCAAAAAGCTTGCCCTTTATACCTTTCATCAGTTGGGTTTAAAGGTTACGAGCAGAAAGAATAGCGTCCATTATATTAGCTTATTAAATTTTGCATTGTCCGACTTCTTCAAGCATCCATGGGTTGGTCTGCTCATCTGTTTTACTCATTTGAAGTGCCACCTATTTCATGCTTATGTAGCTGTGACATTTTCAATGATATAAGTTTTATCTGGAATTCTGTTGTCTTTTTTATCTAAAAAATTTATTGCATATGTATAATTTGAAATAACTACATGTTATTAAGTGTTTGATTCACAAGTTCCTAGAGGTTGTTGCTGCATAAGCTTTTTTTTTTAAAACTTTGGCATTGTTCTCAATTGTATTCAGTCACTACAGTACTGGGGACTTTACAGACTCCCTTAAGGTCTGTGTAGGGACCTCCCTGAACTGCCATTAGTTGGGCCAAGTTGATCATATACCTCCCACAGTTATCAATCGAAAAGAAAAACATCAAGTGACTTGTATACCCTTTGGCTGTTAACAAGTATTTTAGACACAGACATTTGCATGAAGGGATCAAAACCTCTCATTGATGAATTGGAGGTTTTTAAGTACCTGATAAAGGAGGCAACAGAAATATAGAATAAGTAGCTTGCTAACATTGGAATGTTTGACTTCCTCAAAAAACGTTAGAATGTTTGGTACTTTCCGACAATAAAAACATTAGAATGTTTAGTCAATTAGTAAATCACCAATAAACCTGTCTTGACTCTTATTATCAAGGTTTTCAGTGGTGATGAAATCACCCCTGATTGCTATATTTGACTATAAGCAAATGAAGGGGACTATATGTGAAATATTCAGAAAATCTGAGGGGAGGTTGGTATTAGTTCTGAAATATTAGGGGATGTCCCTGGAATTTCAAGAAAACTCAAAGGAGGTAATTGTAATTTCTGTTTTGTTTTGTCAATTTTGTTGTGACAGATTGATAGATTAACTCCGTCATTTTTCCTTTCATAAGCTAGGGGATTTAGGTTCCTTTTTGTTGCTAACCATGATATCGTGCATGATGTTTCTTGTATTTCGTCAAATGGCAAAACAGGTTGGTTACTATTTTGCTCCAAGTGGCAAGCCTTACCCTGATAACTGGATCTTAACAGATGTCATATATGAGATTGAAGGATCTTTGTATTCTAGGTAACTGTCATCAGCATCTGATTATTGATCCTATTTGACATTATGGCTAGATTCTTAATGAAATATATGTTGTAGTTTGCACACATGCTTTTTACGTGAGATTCTTATTGTAGTGGACAATACTTGATGTTGATGTTTTACCAATGAATATCGATTGTGCAGTGATCAGTGTTATTTCTGTCATCACGCTAATGGTTGAATATTCGGTAGTTGAGTGTAAGGTTAGATTGGAAATATGTGGATTATTGCAGTGTGAGACGTTGAATGATTTATAAATATCATATATCCAGTGCTCCCGAGCCTTCTAGAAACTATTGTTAGTGCTATATATTATATGTCCATCAGCCTCTGCCGTTGTGTATAAATACTTTTGAACCTAATCAAATCTAAAAGCAACAATGCTTCATTCAACTCATTTGGCATGCAACAAAAGAAATCAGTTGGCATTTTTGGCTCTTTTATCCCTTTTATTTCTTTTTATTGTTGGGGGGAAGAGGAGAAAAGGGGGGGGGGGGGGGGG